GACCTTATGTGCAGCTTTCTGTGTGGAAGCAGCTGGCCTGAAAATGCTCTGTGCTGTGCAGTTCCCATGCATGGCTCCCCCTGGGTGGGAGGGTAAGATAGGGGTGTGCTAGAGGCTAGAGAGAAAGAAGGGCAAAGAGATGGAGCAGAAAATTGTCACCTAAACCCTCTGGGTGACAAGATAGTGGTGATGGGATACCTACTGAGTTTCTGAAATTGCCAGCACCAGCAGCAGAACGTATCTCAAGTGTGGAAACACAGGTGTAATGGTTGAATACCAGTTCACAGGTTACTGCACATGTATGGCTAAGGTATGGAACATTGCACTAGGGGAAGTTGTGTACACATGAAGACAGAAGCTGTAACCTTTCCTCCTTTCCATTCAGTTTTGTTGTGAACCCAAAGCTGCTTCCTGAAAACAAAATGTATCTTTAAAAAGAAACAAGGGTGCTTGGTTTATATGAATAATAGAATAAGATAACAAATCATTCAAAAAGCAGCAAATATGTGGAATGCTTTGGTCATTGTTATCCAAAGGTTGAGAGGGATACATGGTACCATCTAGGGAAAGTTAAAAGACTTTGGAGCCAGATTTTTCCACACAAGGCAAACTGCTCTAGCAGCTCAGGTCTCAGCCTATGTAGTACAGCTCCTCAGTCTCTGCTGGTACCTAGTATGTTAGTGTTGCAGGGCTCGGAAGCTGTATGTGAAGAAATGCATGACGATGGAATAGAGTAGAAAAACACGATAGAATCAGCTTGAATTGCACAAAATAAGGCAAGGTAAGACTTTTGGTCTGTTGGTTTCTGTGTGGATTTGTCCCTGGCCTGGCCATGAGGATAACACATACATTTGTCACTTTCTTTTTTTCTGTTATTTAAAAAAAAAAAAAAAAGACATTTTCCCTGTGAAACTTGATCTAGGCTTGGCCTCAAACTCAAGAGATCTTCCTGCCTCTCTGTCCTAAGCACTAGGATTAAAGACTTGTGCCACCACGATCCCTGACTCAGATGTCATTTTCTAAGCTTCAGGCCTGTGCTGCGCCACCTCACTCTTCATCCTTTAATGGGTCGTGCTGTCCAGTGGGATGGTGTGAAGAATAAGAGAATGGAAGATCAATGTGAGGATTTCCCTAGCAATATAAGTGTGCCCTGAAGAAGCAATGATTGTATTGTGTGTGTCTGTGTGTGTGTGTGTGCAAGTGTGTACACACATGCAGTGTGTGTGTGCGCCTGTCTGCATATGCATGTTTGAGTCTGTGTGTGAAAGTATGTGTGTGCACAAGATGTGAGTGTGTGTGCCTGTATATACATGCAGAGACACTTCTATTTAACTTGTCCAGCATTGCTGAAGAGTCTACAGTGGCTCCTCATCCCCACTTTGTTCACATGTATGCACACACTTAGTTCAGTGCTTGTATGAGTGTGTGTTGGACCCAAGGTAGGATGACTTCAATCTGTACCCAGAGACATCTGAGGGACATTTGGGAGGACCTGGTATACCGAGAAACAGAGTTGAGCAACTTGTTTTAGGAGATGAGAGGAAGGGAAAAGGAGGCAGGGGTCAAAGCACTGGATTTTTGTTTGTTTCTTTGTTTTTAGAGGCCCAGAAAGGCTAGTGGCCTAATGCTTCCAGCTGTTAAATGAGTCAACTGGTTAACCAGGAATCATTTTAGGATTTATCTGTATGTCCAGCTATTCTTCTAAGGAAGAAGGGAACATTTCATGTTTATTCTGGATGTTATAATTTTGAGTGATATTGTAAAATACCTTTTTATATGAAAATATGCTGAAAGAAAAAAAAAAAGACACAGTCACAGGGGCCCCAAACAAATGTGACCATTAAGACTCTTAAGACTCCAAGGGTTAGTTATGTATTTAGAAATGTTTATCCCTAATAGGAAAACCACCTACCTCCGCCATGGATAGAGAAAGCAAGTGTGTACTGGATAGGATGTGATACCTAGTAGACCCAGTTCTGATTTACATTCTGGAGTTCAAAAACCAACAGAAATATTTTCATGTTACCAAATTAAACTGGAAAGACAGACACTACTGAAGATTAAGTATCCCTCTGACAACAGCCCTTTACATAGTTGATTCCTTCTGGTTTTAGAAAATCTGACTTTTCTTTCAGAAGTGTGTGCTGCTCCTGTCAGTAGCAAGTAAGGTTTCTACCACATTCCCCTCTCCTTTTCTTTCTTTTTAAAAGAAATCACTTACATTTCTTTTAGTAAACAAAATACTTATATAGTGTAACTGGGAAAAGAAAAGATAGTTACAGATTTTCTAATTTTCTTTTTCTTTCATTCCCAGTCCTTGAATAGTTATTCTAGGGACAGCATCAACAATGGGGGTGGATCCTTGCTACAAAATACCAAGCTAGTTAATCTTTTGTGGGGAAAAAATAAAAAGCTCCTAAGCTGGACCACAGCAAGACAAGCTTCCAGCCCTGCACCTGCAGCAGCTCTGCCCACCCCCAGTCCCTGGCTCTGTTTACTCAAAGGCCCAGAAAGCCTCTTGCTTGTCACACTGGGCCTCTGGACTCCCACAGTAGGATTCAGCCTCCTTAGTTGGGATCCATCTTCTCCAGCAAATAACCCACTAGTCTTTGAACACAAGTTCTGTTTCTCACTGAAAAGAGTGTGTTTTTCACTTAGCATTCCCTCAAGAGCACCACAGCCTTCTGAGTGCGCGCGCGCGCACATGCGCGCGCGCACACACACACACACACACACACACACACACACACGGGCTCTGTTCTCCTCTCCTGGGCTGGATCTTCATCTGAAGCTTTGCAAAATGTCATGCCAGGGTGGTAGCAAATAGGTACAGAATTTAAATTGCCTAGAGTAAAAAATGGCAGGTGGCCACAAGTAATTGCTCTCGAGGATAAGGCAGGTAGTGTCTGGAGTTCGAGATCAGCCTGGGATGTATAGACTAAGATCCTGTCTCAAAACAAACAAACAAACAAACAAAAAAAAACAGGCCAGGGAGCAATGGGGGAAGGTTAAGAGTTAATATAATAAAACAAATAACAATGATGGTAGATAACCCCACACTTCACATGCGGACAGGAAACTGAGATGAAATACCTCCCCTGTATCTAGAATATAGATTTGCCAGGTGATGGGGATTCGCTGACCCCACCCCATCCTCCCTCGACATCCCCCAATGCTGGGAAATGCAGGCAGCTGAGAGGAAAACAAGAGGATGTCTCCTTGTCCGGAAAGATGGATTTCCACACACCACATGGATTTTCTGCAACTCCAGACTTCGGGTCAGCCAGTACAACCGTAAATTCTTAAGGTTCCAGCGGCCTTAAACAATAAAATAAAATACCAACGTTATCAAGATTGGGGGTAGCTTTAATTTTACTTGTACCTGGGACAGTGCTTTTCTTTATGATGGATATAAGAAGGGTAAAATACAGGGTCTTTTTTTTTTTTTTTTAATAAAATAATCTTTGAAGACCTGTCACCATTGTCTGTCCGGGGGCGGGGGTGGATGGGAGATGAGAAGCCTACTGACCTGTGCAGTACACCAACCTTAAAGGAAGTGTGTTTAGATAATTCCACTAGTCCCGAGCGGCCGATTTCTCGGGTGAGCGACTCCGGGTGGGGTGAGGGGCTGTAGATCTTAAAAAACCATCCCCCAGTGCTGGGGATGGGTGGGTGTTAGGAAGACAGGGTGAGCAGCGACGTTAAACAGAAAGCAGAAAGCTTCTTTTCATTGTCCTCAGAAGAGCCATAGGTGGGTAGGACACAACACAAAGAAAAGCGAGTTTCCAAGGAGCCCAGCAGAGCGACCAAGCTGGGGCAGCCGCTTCAGCGGCGGTCTTTGCAGGAAAATAAGAAATATCTTTGCTTTAAACGCGAGTACACCTCATTTTAGCTTCGGTTTGTACTGTTGGGTTAAAATAGCAAATGACCCAGAAGGTGCGTGCTGGGAAGCAGAGCCAGGGTTTCAGGACCGAGCTGCAGGGGAGGAGGGCGTGGGTGATGGAAGGAGGAGGCGGGAGGCAGGGGTGGGGGAGGTCTGTGGAGCAGAGAGTGGGGGGAGGGGCGCCGCACAGTGATGCTGAGCCCTGGCCACCCCTGGACCCGTCCCGCCTGACACCCAGGACTCTTTTCAGAACCCGCTTCGGAGCCGCGGAGCCGGATGGTCTCAGCAGACCGTTACTCCGGCCGAATCAGGGGCGGCGCGCAATCTAGGAGGGAAAACGGGAGGGAGAGGGACAGGACAAAACCCTGCGGGTGCGCTGAGGTTGGAGGGGCACGACCGCCCGGCTCCAGAACGGGGGTAGAGAAAGGGAACCAGAGGATGAGCCCACGTGCACGGCGCCGCGCGGTGTCGAAGCGCCACCTTCCGCCGGGCGGCGGCGCAGAGCGATCGCGCGCGGGTTCAGGGCGCGACCCGCCCGGGACCAGCAGCGGCATCCACTCGTGGCAGCCCTGAGGGTACGTCTGCACCGGGGATGAGTCCATCGTCCGCGCCCTTGTGTCCGTGCTGGTCTCTCCCTCTCGACCCAGCGTCTGCCTGGGAGACACGCGCAGCTGTGCGCACTAGCACATTTCTTTTGAAAAAAATAACATATTTCTAGACCTCCCCCCTCCCCATCTTTGCAAACTGGCCCAGAGGCGGGAATAGGGGCGGGGCCTGATGTTAATAACGGGAGATGGGCGTGGTCGGGCCTAGCCATTGGCTAGCGGGAGTAGTGATGTCACCCATATGACACCCTGATAACGAGTTGAGAGAGACCCCCTCAACTTTTTGCAGAAGAAGCGCGCGCGCCTGGGAGTGCTCGGGGTCCGGCGCTTGCGGCGGCTGCCAGGAGCGGGAGAGCGAGAAAGCGAGCACCAGAGAGAGAGAGCGCGCGCGGGTCCCGGGCCGCCGCCGCCTCCTCTCCGGTCGCCGCCGCAGCCGCCGCCGCAGCAGGGAACGGGGCCGGGGGGGAGGGGGGCAGCCGCGGACGCGCGCGGCCGAGGACTTTGCAACTTGCCGGGGAAGGTGGAGGGGCGGGAGGGGGAGGGGCGCAGGAGACCAAGCGCCCAGCCCCGCCGCGGACCATGGTGCAGCAGGCCGAGAGCTCGGAAGCCGACAGCAACCTGCCCCGGGACGCGCTGGACACCGAGGAGGGCGAGTTCATGGCGTGCAGCCCGGTGGCCCTGGACGAGAGCGACCCGGACTGGTGCAAGACGGCGTCGGGCCACATCAAGCGGCCCATGAACGCCTTCATGGTGTGGTCCAAGATCGAGCGCAGGAAGATCATGGAGCAGTCGCCCGACATGCACAACGCCGAGATCTCCAAGAGACTGGGCAAGCGCTGGAAGATGCTGAAGGACAGCGAGAAGATCCCGTTCATCCGGGAGGCGGAGCGCCTGCGCCTCAAGCACATGGCTGACTACCCCGACTACAAGTACCGGCCGCGCAAAAAGCCCAAGACGGACCCCGCGGCCAAGCCCAGCGCGGGCCAGAGCCCCGACAAGAGCACGGCGGGCGCCAAGGCGGCCAAGGGCCCGGGCAAGAAGTGCGCCAAGCTGAAGGCGCCGGCGGGCAAGGCTGGCGCGGGCAAGGCGGTGCAGCCTGGCGACTGCGGAGCAGGCAAGGCGGCCAAGTGCGTCTTCCTGGACGACGACGACGAGGAGGACGAGGACGAGGACGAGCTGCAGCTGCGGCCCAAGCCGGACGCGGACGACGACGACGACGAGCCCGCGCATTCGCACCTGCTGCCGCCGCCGGCGCAGCAACAGCCCCCGCAGCTGCTCAGGCGCTACAGCGTGGCTAAGGTGCCAGCCAGCCCCACTCTCAGCAGCGCGGCCGAGTCCCCCGAGGGCGCGAGCCTGTACGACGAGGTGCGCGCGGGCGGCCGGCTGTACTACAGCTTCAAGAACATCACCAAGCAGCAGCCTCCGCCCGCACCCCCCGCGCTGTCGCCCGCGTCCTCGCGCTGCGTGTCCACCTCCTCCTCCAGCGGCAGCAGCAGCGGCAGCGGCGCGGAGGACGCCGACGACCTCATGTTCGACCTGAGCTTGAATTTCTCCCAGGGCGCGCACAGCGCCTGCGAGCAGCCACTGGGCGCGGGTGCGGCGGGGAACCTGTCCCTGTCGCTGGTGGATAAAGACCTGGATTCCTTCAGCGAGGGCAGCCTGGGCTCCCACTTCGAGTTTCCCGACTACTGCACGCCGGAGCTGAGCGAGATGATCGCAGGGGACTGGCTGGAGGCGAACTTCTCCGACCTGGTGTTCACGTATTGAGGGGCGCGGGGTCCCTCGGGAGGCAGTCCTGGCGGTCAGGATGGTGGGGGGGAGGGGAGCAGATGCTCATGGTCAGAGATGTGGCGCAGAGAAATTGGAAAAGGTGATGAAATGTTGGTGGAGTTAAAGTGAAATGAGTAGTTTTAAACAGATTTTCCAGTTTTTTTTTTAATTTTTATTTTTAAAAAAAATTTTGGTCTCCCCCCCACCCTTCCCTTTCTTTATCGTGTCTCAAGGTAGTTGCATACCTAGTGCGGAGTTGTGATTTTCCCCACCCCTGAGAAAAACGTGTTTTGTAATTTCTATTTCTTTTTCCTGAAATTCGTGATTGCAACAAAGGCGGAGGGGACCGGGCGGGGGAGGGGAGGAGGCCCCGCTCCGGAAGGCGCTGTTTGAAGCTTGTGGCTTTTTGAAGTCTGAAAGACGTCGGCAGAGGGACCCTTTTGGCGGCACAACTGTTACTCTAGGGAGTTGATTTTTTTCTTTTTCTTTTTTCTTTTTTTCCTTAAGAGATCTAAAAAAGAACTGGTGATTAAAAAACAACACACAAAAAAAGGGACCATTGCAACCTTTTTAATTTTATTTTACTTTTTTGGAGGGAGAAAGCTGATGTCTTCTATGCATCCAATTTCTCAAACTGCAGGGAGCTTGAAAAAATGCAGTCTGTACAAACGCTTACAAAAAATTCATAACTGTGAACTGACTTAAGAGCAGAGTTTACTTTTTCAGATCAAATTGTTTATGGTTTTACAAATGTGATTTCTACTTGGCAACCTTTTTTTGGTAACTCGTTCCCTTATACCTCCTTGATTGAATACCTTACAGCCTAGACCTCAGTACAAAAAGGTATTGAAACATTTTTGATACATAACAGACCTCAATCTTTTTTAAAAATTAATATATTTTCAGGCGTATTTTTGTACAGTGAAAAGGGAACAATCTTGCTGTGTTTTTTCAGTAAGACTTTCAGGCACTTCTTCCCTTTTGATTTCTTTTTTCTTTTTCTTTTTTTCTTTTTTTTTTTTTTGTTTTTGTTTTTTTTTTGTTTTTTTTTAGCATGCAAATTTGTTGGTACGTTATGTCCTGGTTTAAAGGATTGAAATTTTAAAAGTAATCCTTGCATCTAAAGGCCTTGTGGTTTAAAAAAAAAAAAAAGCAAACTTTTTTTGTACAGCTATAGTAGAGATTTGTTCAATATTTGTAGGTAAAGATTTATTGAAAATGGTGACATAGACCTCAGAGCTGTTCTTAGTTTAAGACTGTATGTACTGTACCATAGTAGGACCTATGTATCTATCTCATCGCTGTGATGTGTGGACGGGGCCCCAGACGGAAGGTTTGAAACTGGATTCTCGATTTTTAGCAAAAAGAAAAAGGAAAGGCACATAGTTTTAAATTTTCTCATTTTGTGCAATATAATCTAAATAAACAGACCATTGCATATTTAGTAGCAAATGGTGGCGAAGCAGACTCAACGCACTATGGACATCACCGCCCGAGGTTTTGTTTTTTTTTTTGTTTTGTTTTGTTTTGGTTTGGTTTTTTTTTTTTTTTTTTTTTTTTTTTTTTTTTTGTTTTTGGTTGTTTGTTTGTTTGCTTTTGTGTGTGTGTTTGAAGTCTGTGTCTTGATTTTAATAAATCAGCAGGAACTGATAGAAGCTCGCATGGCCCATAGTCTCTCTAAGTCCACCCGGGGACCGCGTGGTCACTGCGCGGCGGATGGCTGAGGGCGGATTCTGCTTTTGGAACCCTTAGTCTGCTGGGTAGGTGGCAGGCCTGTGTCCTCCCTTTTCACCCCGCCCTGCATCTCCACCCCCGACGCGGGCTGTGCGCGGGTCCGTGCGTGGTGGGGCGGGGATTGGTGTCCACAGAACTAGGCCTCCGCTTCTGGCTTTGGCTTTAAAAAAAAAAAAAAAAAAAAAAAAAAAAAAAACTTTTTTCCTTTTTTTTTCCCGCCGCATCTCAGAGTGCACTCTCAGGCGGATGCGGATGGAGAGGGCCGCGCCCTTCAGGGGTGTCCACGCGGGTGGGGCTCAGGGAAAGTAAACGCGGTGATGCCACCTCCACGGAGGGAGGTGGCTTGCTTTGGAGTCTTGATGGAGCATCAGCCTCCCGGGGCCCGGGCCAGCCCCACCCCCATCCCCCAACTAGCACTGTCCCTCGTGAGGTCCTGCGCGCAAGCCCAACTCCCCGGGGCCACAGCGCCCGCGACAGAGAAGCCATTCAGCGGCAAATTGAAACTTGGTGCCAAACAGCCTGAATCTAGAACCACAGGAACCGTTACTAGGGCGCTGGCCTCGGGGTCGGGGCCCCACGCGAGTCGCAAGCTGCAGGTGGAGAGCTCGTCGCCGCCGAGCGGCGCGATCGTACAGCGCTCGTGGGTAGAGGCGAAGGGGGGCTGCGTGGCTTTCCCTCGCCCAGCCCTCTTCCTTGGCGCGCTGGTGTGAGCCACGCGGAGACCTTTAAACCGCTAATGATCCCACCAGCGGTTTACCCGGGGCAGTTTCTGAAGCCTATGGAAAAGGCATTCTGAGTGTCTAGAGATCTTTGCGTTTGCATGTGTTTCCTGTTTTCCATCGGGCGTTTTCTGTGGTGAGGGAATTAGGTGTGAGGATTTGGCCTCAGAATGGAAACATAGCTGTGATTTGTATGTTAAAACTATGTGGCCGAGTTTCTTGGCAGGAAAATAAAAGACAAGTCCTTGGTTAGCGACAGAATTAAAAAAAAAAAAAATTTTTTTTTTGTTTTTTTTTAAACCCTGTTAGAACTCAGGACAGGCGCTTGAATGCGCCTTTAACAATATTTAAAGCAGTTTAGACGAATGCATTGTGAAGACCATTCCCAACGAACTCTTTATTGAATGTGTAATACACACGATATTCCTGCCACTGGCTAGGCTTCAATAAAAGTTTAGCTGCATTTTCCCCCTCCTAAGTAAGTCTTATTTTTAACTGAGCATTGACAGTATCTTAAAATGGTAACGTGGGCGTGGGCGTTGTGTGCACAGAAGTCTAGCCAGTTGGGTACCCTGCTCCTTAACTAGTTAACAGACTCGAGTGCGGAATTATTTTTTTTTGTTTTGTTTTGTTTTTTCTTTTGTTTTTTGGCGAGATTTCCATCTTTGAAGAAACAGAAATACCTGAACCACCGTTCTCTTATTAATTCTTTAAGCTGTGGAAATAATTTTCCAGTTTCTACATTCTTGATATGCATCCTTCTTAAAAAGAAATGATACGAATGAAAGGCAGTGTGTTAGATTGTGCAAATACGTGTTATGAATGACTATGGTCACTGGGCAAGTTATTTGTAGAATGGTTAGCCTTTAGCTAGGGAAAAAATCATTGCAGCTCTTTTGGGCCTGGGTGGTTCTTTTTAATGTTAATGGAGGGGAAGTGATTTAAATATGCATGCTAGTAGCAGTCAGAATTTGACTTAGTTGTTTTGAGACAAGAAAAATCAAAAAGGCAAGGTCTACTTCTTTTCTCTGGGAATTGAAACCACAACCATCTTGATACTGGGATGGTGTAAGAAATGGACATTTGTTTCACTTCAGAATTCAAATGAGTTTTGCCCAAGGAATCTGGGAAATGAGGCAAATAAGTTGCTCAATTTTCAAGTAGTCATTCAATAGAAATATATTCAATCACTCAGCTTTTTTATCCTCTGGTGGGGTATTAATGTATAGTCTCACTGTTTTCTCCTAATGGGCGTATGTATCTTTGTGGACACTTGGAAGAGAGGTTTTTCTTGTACTCTCTAATTTCTAGAATCTTTATACTCTTTTTTCCTGCGAAGTTTTCTGCTTCTAACAGATTTCTGAGGCAACTATATTTGTGCTTTTTTCTTATGTAGGAAGACCAGCGAAAATAGCTTACTGAGTTGTCGATTTTATCAGTAGATAAGAAACTTTGTTTATTACAGTTTCAGGGAAGGTTTTTCAGGATATTTCTCAGTTATTCTAAGGGCCAAATTTTATAAAAAGAAATTTCCATTAGGAATGTCAGTTTCAAATACCCTTTGTATAGCCTATGGCCTGTAAGGATAACAAGCCTGAGCCTTACATGTGTCCGAACAGGAATCCATAAGTCCCCAAAGTAAACGTCTCCATGTAACGACTCTTGACGCATTTCCTAAGAGTTGGCTTATTTTAATTATTGATTATTTCTCACTGTCCATTCTAGTTGATTTATTCTGCCATATCTCTTGGTTTGATGATCTCAACATTTTTCCTCTTTGGTAACAACTCAGGTTTTGTTTATGGGTTTTCAAGACCCCCTTTGTGTGATGCTTACATTTCATCCACAGTATAACTTACTGAAGCCAAGCTCATTTCCATTTCCTTCCTGCTGACTCCTCCCCCCCCCCAACTCCTAACATACCTTCATTTTTTTTTCCATCTTCTTATTTTTTTTTTAACACTACCTAGATGCATTAGCTGCCTGATTAGTTTATCTACTCCATGTGGATGCAGTGAGTTTATGAGAGACTTTCACAAACAAGTAGTTTTTTAGTGAACTTAAACAGAATTTTAAAGGAGACCTATTTTTATACTCAATAAAAAGCACAAAGGTGCATAAAGTATAGCATGGCGTACAAAGGGAAATCCGCTCATAACGCTCCGTGTATAAAAGTAATAATTTTCTTGGATAGCGATATTCTTTGAAGACCCAGTGCCTCTCTGCCTGTGCGTACACATATGGTTTCCACACACCAGGAACTTCCGGTTGCTGGCACTTGACAAACACTTCTTGAGAGCCACCAAGAGCAATAGGCAGGGGCTGATATGTGCCTCCTAAGCAACTGGCCACTAGGCAACCTGGGCGTGCAAGTGCAGAGGCTTCAGTCTTACTGTTTGATCAAACTTCTTTTATGTAGTCGTGTAGACTTCATTTTTCTCTTCTATGAAAAATGACAAAATAAAGCAATATGACAAGTTTGAAAATGCATTAATTTGAAAGAATAGAATTTCCTCCAGGGTCCTCAAAGAGATTTTTTTTTTTCTTTTAATGTGACGCTTATTTTAGGAGGTGCATTACATCCCCCTCAAAAAAACAGAAAGACTGGAAATCATCAAAACATAGCATTAAAATGATTTAAAAAAAAAAAAAAGAATTTTGATCAAATGGATATTGACAAAGGGCCCTCTATCCCATTTTTCTTCATCCAGCTTGTGTTCAAAATCCGTATGCCTCGTCCCCTGAATCACACAGGGAGAAGCGTCCTAGGCCATTGTCATGGACCTCCCCACTTTGTCTACTTTTGCTCCTGTACATATGTTGTGGGTGTCAGTCCTTCCCATTTGTTCTGTGACACCTTTGTTTGAATGGACTGTTTTGAAATGGAGGCCTGTGTCTCAGGTGTTGGGACACCTAGTGGTTGTGGCATCCCATCCAGTAGTGCTTTGGTCCAGCCAGGACAGAGCCACCTGAAGTCTGAGAGCAGTTATTAGCATGACACCGTAAACAAGTGTTTTGTTTTGTTTTCCAAGGCCGAGAAATACAACTTTCACAGCCACTCCAGGTTTGGGGGAGGAATAGCTGGAAAGCCCTTTTGTTTAGAAGTCTGAGTGGGTTGTGGGGGGACCTTTTATAGAGTTTGCATGCCAGCGCAGGACCTGTTGCTGTCAGACAGAGAGAGGGAGGGGCTACCTGAGGCAGTGCGCTGGGGGACCATGTAAGTGTCCCATAGCACTAGGGAAGCAAATGCATGGTGAAGTCATGTCTTCTGGTAGAGGTTATCTAGCATGCAGAGTGTAGTGTGTTGAAACTGTATGACGTTGCTGTATCAAACTTGTAAAATTAAGCATTATTTATTGAAAACTATGTATTTTTTTGTAAAAACCTGATCACACAGAGTATCAGTGGCTTGTGCTTTGTGCTTCAATCAAACCAGCTTCGTGACCGCCCTCCTTGGAATGCAGTGTTAATGCTCAGGGTTGAATTCATAC